TTTTTGTGGCGGGTATAAGCCCGCTACTCCCTCAGTCTGCCTGCCTGACTCTGCCACGGGGACACAGTGTACAGACAGTGTGTGTGGAAGAGCAGAACAATGGCGAAGCAAGCCTGAAACCCCTCCAAGCTTATCAGCGACACCCTAAAGTCGCTTCAGGTAAAAAAAAAAATTGTGCACCAAGCTGAAGAAAAAAAAACAAAAATACAATTTGGATGCAGAGGGGCGGTGGGAAAAGGAGAGATGAGGCTTACAAAAGCATTACATAAGAGAATTGCTAAAGCGGCAGATTAGCAGCACAGTGGGGGTTGAAGTTAAAATCCATATTTGTTAATTAACAACAGGACAGAAATCTCTCTCGGAATTCCACTTTGAAGTGTGTTCATGTTGGCGCATCGGATACACTCATGGGCCAAAACATTAGGTACACCTACAATGATCAAATCCGGTAGAGGAGCTGTGTCGAATATCGCTTGCAGTGGTACGCGTCGGAGCAGGACGGCAGGACTAAATGCAATATGAAAACACATCTCTGATCGAGTCAATGGAAATCAAATCTGGCAGCTTTTCTATTGGGTCTGATTAGATTAAGGATATAAATATTATTGTTTCGGCTGAGTACACCTTCCGAGCCAAGAAAATTTCCCCTTAGGGAGAAAGATGAGGCCGAATAAACTGAAAAGCAATACTGAAAAAGGCCTAAATTAATTTGCATGGTTAAAAGCATTTCAAACGCCAGCTAGGGAAAGTTTCGCCTGTCCCGTGCCAAAAAAAAAAAAAAAAAAAAAAAGAGCACCAGCCTCCAATTATATTGCGCGCTTGAAGCTGCGATGCTGCCTGGGCCATCTTCTAAACCTTGTTTATGTCAATAAGTGTACCCGTGTCAGTTCATTTTAACTTGTGTAACGTGTACTTTTACATGGGTGGTTGGTTTCCTTGTTTGAAAATAAATGTAAAGAATGCTTTACAGGAAAGATTTCTCCAGATTTGGCCATAAAAATACTTGCGTGCTCATGCTCGCCCAAGATATTGTGTTCCACTTTCATCGAAATGAGCTTACCTCATTTGTGATGTGGAGGCAGGAAGCCAGTCCCATTTAAAGGGCGCTTTTGTCTGAGACGCTTCACGGCATCATTAGACCAAAATGCACTCTGAGCCAGATCAGTCAAGATTGTAACCTTAAGTGGTCCCTTTTGACGCGCCAGAATGTTTCCACTATTGATCTTGTCTAGAGACGTGCACCCACAATGCTTTGGGCCTGCTCGCTCAAAGACCGCTTCATTTAGTGACAGGATACAGAGATCATCTCTTTCTCTGCCGCTCATGCGAGGTGTGTCTTCCTCAAGAAAAAAAAAAAAAAAATCTCATTGAATCTACTGTTCGAGGAAGTTTGAGACATCAGAAATTCACAAAGCGTGTCGTTTATATAGCGAACCTATCTGAAGCAGATGACGACTCCATTTATATGTGTACTTTTTCAACTTATTAATAATGCAACACTTTCCCATCCACAAGTTGTTCTGAAACATAAATAGCTCAGCAACCTATTTAAAGGCCTCGATCAAGACAAGGCACTAAAAATGTTGACATGTAGAACATGAAAATGTTGAAAAAATATACAGCCTGTAACATAATGTTGAAAAAATGTTGGCATAAAAGTGAAACGTTATTCAAAGGCCCTATTTCATAAAAATGAAATATTGGTGGGAGGGGAAGTGTTCATTTTTTGGTTTTTCTTTTCTATGGTGAAAAAAAGTGCATGCAACACAGTCAATACATAAATTTGTTCATGTGAATATTTTTCACTGGGTCAGAAGTATGTCAGTCGTGGTGTACCTGAACGGATAGCCAAATTCAATGTTGATGCTCCTGTTACTCTGTCTACTGTCTGCACAGTCCACTTTAACCCGGAGGTGCCCATAGTAGCCGCCGCATGTTGCAAACGCACAAATGGCAAAAATCTGAGGGAGAGAAGATGAGAAGCAGTCATATGAGGACAAAAGCATTCACAGGCAAAGACTATCAGGGGACGTGTCGGAGCGAGCGTGGCCTATTGCGTAATGTATTCCCATCAATAAATCACGGGACTGATTATTACAATTTCTAATTGGTTTGAAGACAAAAGCTGAATAATTTAAAGGTGGGAAGTGCTGCTCACTGTGCACTAGAGGGTGGCCGCAGCAGTGCAGGCTGATTCATTTTCACATCAAAGGTTTCTACAGCTGCGCCTTCACAATATCGCTCGCTTTTACAAGATTCAAAGCATGAAATACATGCACTCTAAAAATGAGAACGTTTTATGTAGCTGGATACCGGATACAAAAATATTTACATCAAGATTCACACTCTTATCTCAGTATTGCTTCAATTTTAAGTGCATGAAACCAAATTTATCTACAGTAGAGGTAAAATGATTAAATTAATTTCCTTGAAAAAAAAATGCAAATCAAAGAGGATGATACTTACCGGGGCAAATATGACCATACACATTTAAAAATCCCAAATATGTGTGCCCAAAGTCCACTCGGTGTGTGCACTGTTTGTCATCAGGCTGAGATGTGGACAATAAGAGGAGAGAATCCAGCAGAGGGGAGGGCTCACATAAGGTACACTAACTTCCAAAGGAGGAGTCAGATGTACAGTATTTCGGATCAAATGTAAAACATTGCACACATTTCCAGCGTATTGATCTCAGCAGAACCCTTCAACAAACACTTATTGAAACTTCAAATAGGAACTGTTTATTTTCCTTTCCCCAGACAATATGGAGTGATAGGCATGTTTTCTCAATTTCTTTAACAGAAGAGTTCTCTACAAACCATATAAATCTCGCCCGAGTAAATATAACAGTTTATTATATGCAATGCATTCGGATAGTTCGACCTAATGATGTTTCTTTACAAATTATATTTTTTCTGGTCTCTCGATAGCAACTTTTCAGGGTCTAGAAATTTGGAAATTGCTTCATTATCTTAGCAAAACATTTGCGTTGAGGGGCCTCGGACCAGCATGCAACAGTTTTGTAGACGGGACTGATACTTTTCATTGGATAGCCTCCCTCATGTTAGAATAGCACTGAGTGCCATTTAGTGGGTGGAGCAGATCAAAGAATCGAATGTACAGTATGTCGGTAAAAAGATTGAATTGTTTTGCTGACCTCGTCTGGTTCTAAGTGTGCATTACACGTTTGACTTGCTCCAATGGTTTTTATACGCTGACGTTCCAGTATTTTAGATCCCAGTGATGTTGATGCATGCAGGACTTCAGATGAATTCAAAGATAATTCAAAATGGCAGCCTGATTAAGAATTTCCAAAGGTGCCATTAATACAGACACGGGATAATGTGTTGTTGATGATATGAGATATTGTTAGTTGACAAAATAGCAAATGATGTTAAATAACAATAAAGGCTTCGAAAAACGCAGTGGCAGGCATTGCCTTTGGTACCTGGGCTTTCAGTGGATACTTATCCGACTTAAATAATAATGTAAGCTTATGTTATATTATTCATTATCATTTTTATGTTTGAGCATCATATTATTTAATGTTAAGATTATCTTAATCGCATTCTGTTGTGTAATAATGCTTCGGCGTGTTTTATGTTGATAGCTTCTGATTGGCTGTTGAGGTAAAGGAAAGCAGGAAGTGATTTTAGTTGCTAATAGTGTGTTCTCGGTCGTGCTGTGGAGCAGACGTCCTTTCAATTAAGCTGCGTTCAAACGGCATCCATCTCTCCTTTTGCCGTTTTGTCAAGTAGAGACATCCATTCAAAAACTACGAACCCCTCAATTTACAGTAATAAAACAAATGCATATAGGTATACTGGAAGCAGGACAACCAAGAAATGCAACAAAATGAAGAGAACAGACGGTTGGGAATAAATGAATACAATTAGGATTTGAAGGTTGTGAAAGTAGATGTGTCTCTGAGCAGACATGGATTTGCTGGCCTCGGGGTCCACCAATGCTAACAAATAATTTCAAAAACAAATTTACTCCTTCAGCTTCTATGATGGGTCGATCCAAAAGAGGGCAGCACCATATCATCTAAACAAGCCCTTCCACAGTTCAAGCAATGAACCCTTTTTCCACCCCAGTATGCAGGTGACAATTGTGCTCCCTTGAAGTCACATGCACATTATGCTGCATTTTAAGGTACTCATTCATGGTTGCCCTCAGCCATGAGTGTTCAGATGTTGCATTGCTGCATCAAGAATTGCAGTTGTCGGATGGTGGTGGTGGAAGGGCTCGGGGCAGCTTCTGCCATGGTAAAGTGGCGATGCTTCACCCTTCTTGTTGCATTATTGATGAATCTTTTTCTGGCATCAGCTTTCTGCTCCAGCTTGAAAATTGTGAGAGGAAAGAGACAAGCATAAATCTGGTGGTTTTCCTTTCTTTTTTTGTGACAGGCCCCAAACGTTTCATTATGTGCCATCTGGGTAGTTTTGCCTATGAATTTGATTGATGAAGCAATATGTTATTACGTAAATCATAAAAGGGCAACTGATAGGCGTTGAACTCACATTTATTGCTGCTGAATGTCGGAAGGGAGTTCAAAGTTAGAAAAAAAAAACAGCGAAAAAGAAGCACAGCCGCTAAAAGTGTTCTTCTTTTACTAAGAGCTGTGATGTTAGAATTACCTTTTCTATTTCGGGAGCAAAATGTGGAGGACTGTGTTATGTAAAAGGATTTGTCTGGAAAATGGGCTCGTCCTTGCACCAACAAGCCAATTACTGCTGTTGAAGGCACTGCAGCCTCAGCTTCGCTAAACCTCAGCCTTCATACTTACACACACACACATACACACACACACGCATGTTAGTTTTGCAAGTGTGTGGCGTCATGTTGCTGTCTGCGAAGTGCAAGGAACTGCAACACTGACACTGACCTTATTCCATCAATCTAACATTAAAAAAAAACTCTCAGCATTTAAATATTTCAAAGATCTCCTCCTGAGAAGCTCTAAGCCTCTCTCCTTGTCGAAGTGTGCGTGCATGTGCGTGTGTGTGCGTGCGTGTGCGCGCGTGTGTGTGTGTGTGTGTGTGTGTGTGTGTGTGTACCCATATTTCTATGGGCTGTACTGTATGTGTGTGTGTGCTTTTTGGCGGGGTTCTCTTCTCTTCACTTGGTAGCATTTCTCTTGGCTGCACTGCTTCCGGTATGTGTATGTGGATACTAGCTTTGACACCAATCAGAATTCAGGCCCAACATGCTGCCATGTAGATTTGGATTTGTCCAGGACCATCCGAATCTGTAGAGCTGGACAATTGCAAAGCTTCAACAGAATTAGGGGACTGTTTCTTTAACCAATAAGACTTGTGTATGTTTGTGTGAGCATGTCTGTTAATGTTGCTTCGTGTGTCTCTGTGTACATTTGTAGTTCAGTATTGTGTCCTATGTGCGTTGAATGTGGATGTGCACTTGTGCATATACTGTACACGTTATTTTTGATTGTATGTACTTTTAGTCAGTGTATATCTTTTTGGGTATCAATTAGCATTTTAGTATTTTTTGATGATACAGTGGTGCACTTATATATTCTGTGATAGTGTGTGCGTTTGTGTCTGGAAGTGAGGGGCATCATGTTGTCATCAAATTACTCGTGTATGCAAGCATGGTGATTTGTGTGTGTTTATGCCTGTGCATGTGCTGGTGAATGGTTATGAATTTGCGTGCAAAGTGTATTTATTGAACACGTGTGTGTGTGTGTGTGTGTGTGTGTGTGTGTGTGTGTGTGTGTGTGTGTGTGTGTGTGTGCGTGTGTGTGTCTGGAATATTGCGGACATTTAGTCTCATTCCCATTTTCTCCGAACTTCAAACAGCATTTTCGTGGCTGTGAATCAACAATGATGCACACACACTCTCTTGACTGGAAAGACATTTCACGGCTCTCTCTCCCATGCTCTCAATCCATTAAAAAAAATGCTGAATGTCCCAAAAAAAAATGATGATGGGCGAGGCAAGTCATGAATATATTAATCTGCAGTTATTGTGTGATATTTCTGTCTTGCTGCAATGTTTGCCTCGTCACGTATGTATAGCACTCGTGTCAACACTCCAAGGACACCAGCAAGTCAACACACAAAATTCAACCGTGTGCTTTCCATAATCCGACAATCCAGTTGCTTGTTGCTTTGATAAATCCCCTCTAGTTGCTCATTTATCTTTTTCAGGATGAAATCACTCAGAGAGACTGTCATAGAGAAATTCAAGTGAATACTAAAGCCATGCAAGTCTCTGCCACGGTTATTAATAATTGATTCATAGCGTAGGGGTGAGAGAAAGTTCAAATCTTTGATACGGTCTTGGCTCATTAATATTAGCGCAAATCTCAAGAAACAGACGATTTATTATCCATCTTAATCTTTGCTGCCACAGTGTTTTTTTTTTTCTCCATACATTAATATTTACTTCACAGATGTGCCGGATCTAAAAGACCGAACCAGCATCTCTCTGGATGAAATAATTGTCATATTTGTGAAGTTGAAATGCTTCCTCGCCATCAAAAGGCCCCAGGTCACATGGTTAAATGCAAGCGTCCCTCACTGCTTAGATGCAATCAAAATAGCTCAGAAATGCAATTGTTTCATGAGACTGAGGTTGATGGCAGTCTGAATGTTCATCTCAAGCAAAATTGTGTGTTGTTGTACCATGCATAACATCAACATTTAATGCGTACACACACTCTCGTTGACGTATAGGCGCTGGGCTGAGCACATCATTTAATTATTCATTTTTAAAAGGTTTGGAGAATGCCAGATCTCCCCATGGGACTTCAATAGTGCAGTCGCGCAAGACCAAAGGGGATTACAGTAGTCTCACCCTGCAGGAAAAGACAATTTATGTCGCTGAAAACCACGGAGGAAAGAAAATCAACCAGGAGAGCTTGCATAAAGCACAGACAAGCGGCTAAATTAAGAGCAGCGGAAGTGTGTTTTGAAAGTGCAGTTACCTCCAGGGACTCTACCGGTCAGCTGTGCAAAGAACATGTGGAGCAGCAGTCAGCTAGTCCAGCTGTCACCTTCACTTGAGTCTCAACGCAGAAGTGCGCTGGTCTTCAGTGCACGCTGAGTTGGCACTCGACTCGAGTCGTGCGTGCGTGCGTGCGTGCGTGCGTGTGTGTGTGTGTGTGTGTGTGTGTGTGTATATGTATGTGTATGTGTGTGTGTGTTTGATTTCCTGGGCTACCCTGACCTGGTGCGGGAGAACACACACAATGGTCTGAGATCATCATCAACACTAATCTTCTCATCATTGTATAAAAGGATAGGTTTTGTATTGTCGGTTACTGTACTTTTTGTCATCAGATTCTTAAGTCGTAATGATTGAATGGATTGTTATAGTCATTAAAATGAATCATCACTTTGTTTTGGATTTATACGGTGGTTCATTTCTTAATAAAAGCTGGATTTTTAATCATTTGCATTTTGTCGTTTGAGACTTTTTCAAATGTCCTTGTTTATCGTAGTTGCTTGTTATTGATAATACGAGTGCAGCCTGTACTCCCGGAGACAAAATCCTTGTGTGTTCTCCATACTTGGCCAATAATGATGATTCTGATTCTGATTTCATTCGTGAGCCTCATTGCTACGTGCAAATGTGACTGATCAGAAGATGAAACGATTGATTGCTGCTTTCATCTGGTGGCTGCCGGCGAGTTATTAGCAACTTCACTGCCAATGTTTATGTGGGCAGGCTGTGCAAACTCTGCTCTCATTTTCATGCTTTCCACGTGAGTGCTACTTGTTCAAATCATTTAAAAGATTTCTTGTATTGCCTTGATTTTGACGACATATCATGCACCAAGCATGCTGCTCCTCATTGCTCTGGAGATAGTGCTAGCGGAGGAACTTCTGTTGTCAAAATAGCTTCATCTTCAGAAGTCATGGGCACCATTAACTGCTGTACGTTTGGTCAATTTGTTACAACAGTGTTACTTTCTGTTTACTATTGCTTTTTTCATTTATTGGCAGATTCTGTTTATTTCTACTTGCAAACCAATGTTAGATGGGAGACTCCGACTGGCGCGAGTCCCACACATTTCCGCCACAGCTGATGGAGCAAAATTTGCTCACAGCTCGCAGGTTTGTCTATCTTCCCATAGCCCCTTACCGATACGCGGAACGGTAGTTGGGACCACTGCTCTACGCCATAGGGAGACCAGGTGTGCACTTCTGTCATCTTAGCTCACGCAGGCTGACACGTTGTCACTTTACTCATATCATCCGGGCTGCAGGTCGTGTCAGGAAGCAAGACAGTGAAAGTGCGACGGCTTTGCTGCACTCTTACCTCATTCTGTATTTGGCTGTACAGAAATAAGATCACCCTGTGTTGGCTCATTTCAGCTGATTCACAGAGTTTCAGGGGTTGCAATGTAACGTCAGCACAAAAGCCCTGAGGCCTGAATATATACTATACAAGAAAATATGTTGGCCTTTTAAAATATTTGACTTTTAATGCTGGGACACTTTTAATGAAATGTAAATCCATCCATCAATTTTCATATACAGTATATACAGGTTGAAAAGATGGAGCTTATCCTTTTGGCAAAAGGTGGAGTACACGAGGGGCAGAATTTGGACCTAGAAGCAGCAGATAGGACACTGAAGTGGCAAGGTTAAAGTCTTCATAAACAGTGCAGGGTATCATATACAAGGTACAAACCAAATACATAAAAAAAAAAAAATAAGACTAACCAAGTTTAAAAATAAAAAGTAAAAAAACAATTGCAAACTTATCGTCTTAGTTGTCTTACTGTATGTCAGTGACATATAGTGACAGACGGAAAATCAGATGCACTTCTTTTCGATGGCAGAAGGTAAAATAAACCTCAAGACTTCCCATATGAACTCTGCAGTCCCGGATTTCAGCCGAAGTAAATAGATTTGTAAGTAAATTGACTCAAAATCATCTTTAACTCAGCATTCATGCTTTTGTGAAATTTTTGTTTGGTGGTGTGATGTGAGTTTTTTCTTTTGTAAAATAAGCGCTGGGGAACACTGCTGAAATCGCCATGGAAACTTTTTGACATTGATCATGTTATGTCATGAAACATGCAGTTTTGTCTGTGCAGCTTGTACGGTTTCATTAGGATTCTATTTTCTGTCAGGGGATGTCATCCAAAGAGGTTAATTTGCCTCTTCTGATCTTTTTTTTTATTGATATGGCCCCAAAATAGGTTTCAGCATTACGCCCGCCGTGCATGCAGTGCCGTGCACTGCTCTGACTCTTAACTGGCCTGACCGTCAAAGCATTTCCTACACGGCAGCCATTTTAGGTGTACCGCCGCTGCCTCCAGGAAGCCGAGACGAGCATCATTCTCTACTCTCCGTTCAGGATCCGGGACAAATTCGCAAAGCGCATGCGAGAGGAAAACGTGGAGGAACGTCGCCTGCTTTTATTTCACGCCCTCCATCCCCCCTGGTTTAAGCCCCTCCCCTCCTTCCCCCCCTCGCATCCGCAGCAGGGACTGGCCAATAAAAGAGAGAAAACACGTAAGCATCGACGCGGGCTCGGCGCAAGCGGAGGATGCTCAGTGGGAAGCGGCAATCATCTCTCAGCACCGCTCGCACTGTTCACTTCCTCCCAAGCCACCGAGTGCAACCTGGGCCTCTCCACCGACCCGACCCCGACTCTCATTCATACTGCCGCCGCACTCGAGGTGAGGAGGGCGGGGGGACCTAATTAGGAAGGTCAGGCTCCTTTAGTAGGAAGGTCATCGCCTCAAGAGTAAGATGTTGGATCCGTCGTCCAGCGAGGAGGAGTCTGACGGGATAGTGGAGGAGGAGAGCAAAGAAGTGATGGCCCCTCAGGCCGGATCCCGCATCTCCCCGAGTAGGACCAGCGAGAGCTCCGGCGGACTTGCGCCCAGCAGCGGCCGCAGCAGCGCCCGACCGACCAGCCCGAGCCCGTCGGCCGCCAGCGAAGAGAAAGACGACCTGGAGAAGCTGCAGCGCGAGGAAGAGGAGCGCAAGAAGAAGCTGCAGCTTTATGTGTTTGTCATGCGATGCATCGCCTATCCGTTCAACGCCAAGCAGCCCACAGACATGGCGAGGCGACAACAGAAGGTAACCCCCCCCCCCTTCTCACTCTCCTCTTCTTCCTCCTATTCCTTTTCCTCCGCCGTGCAAGGGCATCGTTAAAAAGCACATGCTGCTGATACGCCTCCTCTTTCACATCGCAGATGTTGTCATTGATGACCTACATAAGATACAGTACGGATGTGTGTTGGGGGCGGGGGGTGGGGAGGGGGCGAAGGGGAGAAGGGCTATTGGGTAGCAGCAGGGAATACAGCACACCTCCGGTTTGTTTTTGGTGCAAGAAAAAAAAAATCCACAGAGCATGAGTGGGAGCATGATGATGAGGTAGCGCTCCAGGTATAGTGGAAAGGGAGGACACATGGTGCAGAGCTATACAGACAAGAGTGTTGCACATGCACAAAGCTCCACCGTGAGGTCACTTGTGCAGCCCAGAAAGCACATTCAGTGTGCAAAGGGATCGCCAGAACCAGAAGAAAGCATTTTGAATTGATACTTGTTGCCTTCAGCAAACGTAGAGTGGAAAATAGCAATGAATAAACCCCTCCTCTTCATCAGTTTGGCCTCCCAAGGTGACTTTTAGACTCAGACCTTTTGAGCTTTGGTCTTATTAAACTTCACCACCTTCAGATGGCGAGTTATTCCACATTCATTTCAATTTCTGAATGGCTTTTAAAAATCCATATATTTGTACCTATTACTCACGTGGTTCCAGGTTGCTGCTGTGCCTGCGATGATTGACGTCCTGACTCCATTCTGAGAAAAGTCACCACAGATGAACCTTGTGTTTACTTTTTTTTTTTTTCTTGCGCTGACATTCACACTATATATGCTGAATGTAAAATCCAATATCCTGAATGAAAATGTATCAATCTGCAGAAAAAGCATTCACCTCTCCTCAGGTCTTTTCCACACTGTAAACAACATCACAGAAATTGCAATTGTGGCTCTTTGTTTATATTTATCCCAACCGTCTTCTTTTAGAAACTTTATGGTCAACATTTTCCGCTGACTCATGTACAAGTGTATGTGGGAGGCTAAACCACGGTGTTTCCATTTATTATTATTTTTTTTTGTAGTCCCATTTGACAGAGGTTACCGACAGGCTAATGCATGCTTAGTGATGCACTTTTATATCTAGCAGCTCTGGCAGCCGCAATCCTTTGGGCTGTGGTTGAGCAAATACCTGAACAAACAATCCAATGTGCAAATCAACCAGACCAGAAAGTCTGTCGACAGTCAGGCTGCACAATTTCGTTTGATCCACATTTCAATGAATGTATTATTCATAAGGAATAATAGTCCTTGTGCAAGAATGAACGGGGGATAAGGCTTGCGAAGTTTCTGAAAATGTCAAAAATATGAAAGGAGAATAATTGCATGGCGCCCCGCAACAATCTCGGTATCAAAATGTAAGTCAATTATGTGGCATGCCATTGTTAAGCGGTCTTTTCAATGCAATTCAGTATTTGTCCAAAAGTAGCCGTCCTGCCTCGCATGTTCTTAAAAGCACATTCCTCACAGTGTAGTCCATGCAGCCTATTACATTAAGGCTATTATGGATTAGTCACAGAAATATGATGAAGCAAATTCATTTGTAATGAAACGACTCAAAGCCAAAACAAAACATATGGAGCGGCTCCATGGTAATCTGTTATTAGAGGGTCTGGCACACAGGCAGCAGTCAGTGATGGACTATCACAGAGAAACAGACCGGGCTTCAAAGGACGTCAGCCCCACCGCTGCGTCTTCAGCATGCCGCCGTAACCTTGTGAAAGGGCGACGTGCACAAAAGCGGCGAAATGGGCTTTCGATGGGCGGCGGAAAATATGTTTCCTCCTGGTAACTGAGTGGCGTCTTCCTGTAAGCTGCAGCGTGGCGCTGCTGCTGTTCGAATGTCCCTATTTTATCTGGTAACGCATGCTTACGTTCAAGCCTAATTGTCTCGGGACACGCTTAAACTAATTGCACAATCTACACGAAAGGATGCCGGGAGTAAATGATTGAGGTTATTGATGGACATGGATTAGGTTGGTGATTAATGTGATTGCGTGCCCATTATTTTAACTCCTGCGGGTTAGAGTCCTCCGTTTTTCATTGACATTAGGAAGCTCAGTGGAATTGGACAATGTCTAATAATAAAAAAATATCGTTCATTATTGGTCACATGAAGCATCGTAATGACTAAATCATTACGTGAATGTGCTTTGCAAAGCGTATTGTTTGCAAACACAATGATGAGTGCGGAACGAGCTTTGGTCCTATAGGACACTGTTGTGATGTCACTAGGAATATAACTCGTAAATGTTTCACTGAACGAGCAGGTTGCTGGAGTGAGATTCAGATCGATCAAGAACAAGACAAGAAATCATTTTTGGGGGGGGACTGGACTGCTGAGCAGTGCGTAAAACACAGTTTACAATGTAACTGTATTTATGAGTGTTGTAGGTGATGGATGACAGTGAAGGTCAAGTGATGAGTCAGGCTTCTGTTTCAATCTAGATCGCAACTATCTCAATATTGTGTGTACTGATCGCTGCAGTATTATTGAATTTTGTTGGGGGCATGAGTTTGAAATACAACATTTGAAGTCAACTTGCAGGAATGATGATTTTGTGCATCGTCTTCAGAGCTGTTGTTGTTATTTTGCCTTTTCCTATGTAACGCGTTATAACCCGGATTAGAGGTCTAACCCAGATCTTATTGTCCAGTCTCAATTCTCAAATTTTTTCAAACATTGTTTTTAAACTGCATCTGTAATTAAAACTAAAGAAACTATGACGTGCTTGAAAAATATACTAATGCATGAAGTATTGCAAATAAGTGCTTTCTGCCACATGCGACACAAACCAAAGTGGAGCAGAAAAGAGTTGACACATCTCCGCCATGTTTGATCCAGTAAATATGCTCAGAGCTGATCGCGATCGATCAGAAATTCATCCCGATCATAATCGGCATTACATAATCGCCCAAACCTACCTGCGCGTACGATTATGTCTGTCTGTCTACATGTGTGGCGAATATGTTCAAATAGTTTTTGCTTAAAGTGTTCTAACAACACCAACGATACCATTCGTTTTTGTGTGTTCGCATTAAGCCAGTTGAAGACAAAGTTGTGTGGTGGTTTGAAATACAGACTCATATGCTTATGAGAATCATAGATTATAGTGCACAGTATGAATGAATACATCACAAATAATTTTCGGATTTACTTTCCTCTCCCTAGTATGATTTGTTATTCCCGGAAGTTGGACTGACCCAATCATCTCCTAATAGAGCGCCTCTTGGCTCAGCACTTTCTAAAAGCATGCGGCCTCTCTGAGTAAGGGAGCCTCTCTGATGTGAATGTGAAGTAGAGTGAATTCAAATCAGTGCTACTTGGATGAAGGTTGCCTCTGCGGTGCTGAGCGCGGAAGAAAAGGATTTTGGCACTGCTTTCATGGCAACATTTGTCATTAGCTTGCTGTCATTAAGGCACAGTATGAGTAGTCAGTTCTCATTATCAAAAAAAAAAAAAAATTGAGTGAATCCGTCACTTGTCTTTGCGAATTCAAACATATTCTTTCGGAAATATTTTCCACACCTTGTTAAGAACTCCACTCTCATCATCAGCCACAACATTGAGCACACTTTGACCATTAGGTAAGTCGACATAATGCCAGACACCGTTCTTTGACAGTGGCAACCAAAAATTGAGCTTAATTACCTTTTGTAAAGGTCATTTTATTGTACTGTAAATGACTTTTGTTTAAGAATCACATTAGATTGTGAAAGTGGACCTAATATTGCGGCTAGTTGTCAAAATATGAAGAGACAAACAAACTGAGCCCGACGGTGTATCTTTTGTCACATCGGATCGAGATGAGACACTTCCATGAAAGATCGTGCAGAAGTGTTTTCTTTTAATAAATGCGTCAAAGGGAAAATTCACCAATCGTCTTTGCTGATTCATTTATCCCGTTTAAGTGATGTGATATATGAGTCAAGTTAAGCGTGGCATTTCGGCGAATGGATGAACGACAGCTAATATAGTAAAAGAGTGGAAGTAAGTGAGACGGAGGATAAAATGGCAAAACAGAAAGAGGCGACGTATAATACAATTCCATTAGCAGTGATCGTGTGAGTGAAACTGCTGCTGAAACAAAGAGAATTGCATGAAGGTGTAATAATGTTCCTTTTTGCCTGACACTTGAGATTTTCTGGGTTTGAATCTTGACTCAGGTCAGATTTCTCCCCCCATTCTAAAAACACGCATTGTAGGGTCATAAAAGAATCAAAGTTGTCCATACTTTAGTTGTGAGTATTACTTGTCCAGGGTGTATTTGGCCTCTCACCCACAAGTCAACTGGGCTCGGCTTACACGTGGCTAGGCCCTGTCACGATAATCGGCTTATCATTCGAGCGTTCAGGTTAGGGTATAAAACAAATTTAAAATGAATGCGATGCTATTTTACAAACTCAAGGCAAAAGTCAAACATGTGTGTCAATTTCTGTAATCCTTGCAAATATCTGGAATGCGATGCTATTTTACAAACTCAAGGCAAAAGTAAAACGTGTGTCAATTTCCGTAATCCTTGCAAAAATCTCTACCAAAATTTGAAATTGTCATGGGTAAGAAATAATAACTGATATTTTGCAAAAACTTTTTGGTCCCTTTTTTTTTTTGACAGTAACTTCAACAAATTATTAACCTTGTCAAAACAGCCTCCTTAGGTAAGCCGTAACTACAAAGTGGACACCCCAAGTTGAGATACTTGATCAACATTCAGTCGCAGTGCATTTTTCCGTCTCCTGTCAGCCAACTTGTTCGCCGCCAACTTGTTCGCTTGCTGTCTGAGGCGAGACTCACACACACACAAACCCAGAGACATGTGGCGCTACGCTAACAGGGTTGAAGCGGTGAGTTTTAGCGTACCCGAAGCTACGTTTTCCGACGGCTGTAGTTGTACAATCACAGAAAGTTAAAAGGCATAAATGGGAGTTAGTTCCCTAACCATATGCCACGGCAGCGTGGGAACATTTTGGATTCA